ATTTTTACTCTGTGTTTAATTATGTTTTGCTTTTCTTGAATCTGAAGCTGTGACGTGTCAAGAAGTTTATGAATCGAATCGGTGAGTAAGTTGGAACAAACAAGTTTGTAGCAGAAAGAATAATGAAGGTAGAAAGACTATTTTGTTCACAGTTTTCAAACACTGATATAGGTTGGAAGGGGTGTGGTATTGTCTCAGAGCTATGAGTAATCTTTTGTTTGGTTGATAGAGTTAGAGCATTTATATTTACTCTAGAGTTCATGTGTTACCCAAAAAGTACATGATGGAGCGATTCCTCACTCCAATGTTTTTCTCCAACAGCTTAAACAAAAGTGGGGTAGTTACTCTCTACATTGACTCAAAGAAAATGTCCATTTTCTGTCACGTTGGTGAATTTGGATGTGGTGATGGAGGATGGACTCCCGTTCTGAAAATGAACGGCAGCAAGGTATTGTTCAATTTCTTGCATTTACATCTGCTGAGGGCTGGTGAGAGCCAACAGTTAGAGTTGTGACCTTGCTCTTAAAGCACAAAGCAAAACTGATTCATCGTTCTAAACACATTGATTGCAAAATAGACGTGAATCAAATGATAACACCAAATAATTTTACTAGAGAATGGTTATTATTTAATTGTGTACGCGAAAACATTTATTATTTTGTTGTTAAGTAATATATTTGATCTTGTGATTTATATCACTACCCACTGGTTGTAAAAGCTCAGTCTCTTAAAGTCATAAGAACTATACCATTGATTTGGTCAACTTTGTCGAAAATCTTTTTTTTTTTGTCATAATGATAACTAATCAGGAGACATTTCATTACAAATCCCCACTGTGGACATCCAAATATGGCTACAATTTTCCAGGAGGAGAGACCGGGTTTGACTCACTAGAGACCAAATTACCAACATACTGGAACACATCCTTCAAAAAGATCTGTCTCGGCATGAAGATAGGAAAAAATGCGAACTTCATTGTGATCGAAAAGCCAGCCGAATCTCTATACTCACTGATCGCTGACGGACAACATCGGAAAACATCACTTGGTCGTGACGAGTGGAAGAAGCTTATTGGCTCGGAGGACTCTTTACAACCCAACTGTAACAGGGAGGGCTTTAACCCAGAGTGCCGGTTTAACAAAGTAAGAATTGGAATTCTTGGTAACAATGAAGACGATTGCAACACTTGTGATTCCAGAATTGGGTTTGGTACAGGTGGAAATCCAGATGACAAAAACACGTGTGGAAACGTGAATCGATCTAAGAAAGGGCGTAGAATCAAAGCCATAGGATACATACTGATTAAGTGAAGGAAAACCTGAGTTTTAACTTTAGTCGAAGTATGAATTACTAAGATGATAAATATCGACACTTTTAATAAATTATTATTATCTTTTGCTTGGATGAAAGTGGTCGAAACGGTGTCACGCGACCGAATATGTTCCTGCGAAAACTGAGAAAAATTCAGTTATAATTCATCAAATATGTTTGCACGGGCGCGATTGATCTAAGCGCATCACGTGATCGAATATGTCTAAGCTCAAACTGGAGATTATGTGAGGTTATAGCCCAAGTAATATTCCCCCATTAATTTTTAAACCAACGACGAAAGTGTTCGTTTACAACTTGATTCGAACCTCCATTTAGCGCGAAAATTATCCTACTCCACATTTGTCTTTGGACATTATCTGCTCCTCGGAGCTTACAGTTTTTCTTGCGTTTCGCTCTCGGAAGGCTGTTCGCATTTTGGAACAGATAACAGCAATTATTAAAAGCTGGATTATTGGATAATGCAATTCAAGACTTTTTATTGGCTTAGCCATTATGGTATCTGAGCCAATATACCAAAATCTAATATCTGTACATTGTAACATTCGGTTTTTTTCTTACAAAATAAAGTCGAGAAGACTTGTCTAATATCTTAGGGGCGTTTTTTTTTTTTAATAAAACAATTATTCCACTCGCGTTTGTCGGATATGAGACGATTATAGCCAACATGGCGCTATGTGCCTCGTTGGCTATTTATCATCTCATATCCAGCGCGCGCCCATGGAATAACTGTTAAATATCCGTGCATATTTTCGGGCTAGATGGAGGCTAAATGAAGGCTATTGTTTATGCAGACAACAAAAGAAGGTATTCATTCTGTTGCGATGCACAATCCACAGCAATAATATGAAAACTGATCATGTGCAAAAAAATCATCACGTCCAGCATTTGTATTTCTCTGGTCCAAGGCAAATGTAACTTTGGTTCGAAAAATTGCTCTTGCGATGTACATTCCATTCATAAACAATGAACAGTATGAAAAACTCGGGGGAAAAAATAAGTTCACACATTATATGCAATTCTTTGACTTAATGCATGTTTAACTATGGCTTAAGAAAGCTGCTTAAGTCAGTGATTTTTATTAGGCCTTTGAAGAAGATATTATTTCATAACTGTATTGAATTGAAGAAGCAAAGAGGGGAGGAGGGAGGGCATGAAGGTCACTCTCCTATCGTCATTCTTGATAGTTACCATGGGTTCATTAAATCATTATTATAATTATCGCCATTTTCATACTTAAGGCGACTTTTTAAAGGCGACTTAAGAGCGCATGTTACCAACGGTCAAACACTTGGTGGCAACAGCCATAAAATCGATTCGGCTCATATTCTCAAGTTAGGTAGGCCTTATGGTGAAGCAAAGCACTGCATACTTCGTTTGGCTGAATATCGATTTATTTTCGAGAAAATCGATAATAACTGAGTTCCGACCAAATGCCGCTTTTGAAGCTCAAAATTTTAGATAAATCTCGGAGCATTCCGCCACGAATTGAAAACACTTGGACCGATAAAAACTATCAAATCTTAAAAAACATCATCAATGCATATGTTCACAGCAATTTGAGCAATTCTTGATCGTTTACTTACACAATCGAATTGAATTTAACCAACCTTCTTCTAGCTCCAAGGTATCTATATTCAAAGTTTACATGGCGTGACTCTGCTTATGACCTCAGGGACTCTGAAAATAAGCTTATGTTCCACTACCGCGCACTAATTATTACAGAAAAAGGTTTAGCTACAATGGCGCCACATTATGGAACAGTTTACCACGCCATAGAAGGAACACAGAGTCTCTTGGGTTATTTAAACGGAAGATCAATGACATTCTTTAAGTCTAACCCACGGTATCACGGGAAACAGCTTTAGTGTTATAGTATGTAGTTTTAATTTTAAATATCTTAGCGTATGTGATATGTATTTTTATAGGCTGATGAATTGATCGTGATTAAATAAAGATTACAATACAATACAATACAATAGCAAGATTAAAAATAGGTCAAAAGTAACCCGTTATTTAACTATGTGCTATACAAAATAATCGACCAAAAATATGGCTTTTGGAAGGTAAAGTATGGTTCTTTTCGATCTCCAAAGGAGTTTTTGGGGAAATGATTCAGTACGATTTAATCAAATTTGAAAGTTGGATAAAATGAGATATTTTACGATGCCGTCAGTTGTTCGAAAATGTTCACATTCGCACAAAAACTCAATTATTTCCCATTTTACATCCAATCTACAGGTTATTTAATATAATATCATCTTACCGTCCATACTGCTGAATCACAAAAGGGGATTGCAGTCCTAAAATTGTTGCATTGCTCCCTCAATAGCAATGGAACTTGGCAGGATAGTAAACACATCCTAATAATGATTGTTCACAAAGCGTATCTCGGGGGTTTCTCTATTCCCATTTCGTTGAAATACTTCGCGTAAGAGATCTTTGTTTAAATATAATGTTGCTAGTTCAGAAACATGTTTCTCGCGTGTAGAATAACGCTAATTAATTCAAAATGAGGTCTACTGAAATAAAACACAAAAATAAAACATTGGACTATGAAGCACGTGGCTACAGGAACTAAGGTCATGTGTTACATATAGGAAACAGGAGCAAACAATTATCTAATTCCGATTATAATTTAATGTATCATAACTGAATGTTTCATGGTACTTCGGGGGATAAAGCTCATTTTAGGACAAAAAAAGAGCGAAAGATCTGCAAAGGGCATAGCCCATCCTACATCACTGCAGATGTGCGACAAAGAAAAGTGTAGTGTTTGAATATTTGTTTATTTAAAGGAAGTTTTATGAGGGTCAAACCTCGAAAACCACAACTTTCGCTGAGATGTTTGTAAAAGCCAACGTTCAACAGCTTTATATTTATGCTACTTCTTCTCCGGAGACTACTGTGCCGCAATATTTTGCGATTTGCAAAAATTTCATTTCACAGTTTTTCCATAGTTACGCCGGTATTGGAATTTTAATCTTCTTCAAGAAGCGTCACGCCGTCACCCATTACAACTACAAGTCTTGACCTTTGCCGGTGGTAAGACTGCGACCCCGGTAGCATGTTCACATTTTTCACACCCACCTTTCTCCGGCAGCGATCCCAAAAAAGCTCACATCTGGAAATAAAACTATTTCTGCGTATCTCGGAACTCAAGAAACGCTTCGAGTAATCATTGCACCAGCTGACATAGCAGACTCGAGTGCGATTCGGTATACCTGCATCAAATACTTGCATTTTGGAACAGTGGCTTTGAAAAATCAACTCAACTAGTTAGTTATTTAGTATTCTTGCCCAAGAAGGTAGCCAAGTAGTGATCTATCCCCCTCAAAGCCAAGTAGTGATCTATCCCCCCAAAGCCAGCAATGCATTATATGGCGAAATTTTATAGAGCGTGGCTGATGCGTAATGAAAAATTTAACATAGGCCTGTTGTCTGGTCAGACCAGACAACAGGTTCACGCCCATCGGTTCACACCCATCGGGAAAAGATTGACATCTAGAATTAACCAGAAAAAAGAAAGTAAACAAACCCATGTTGTGCCTATCTCCTTAARTCTTTCCTTCCAAGATGATAAATTTAAGAAGTGAATGACTACTTCTTATAGAAGTCCAAAGCCAATAAATGCATCATATGGGGATATATTATTGAGCGTGGTTTAATATCTAAAGGAACTCTGCGCCTCGAACTAGAGCCTCTCTTTCACCCCAAACCAAGCTTTGCACTGGGGGGGGGGGGCAAACTCTGGTTCAGAAAGGACTGTTGGACTCTTTTGAGGCAAATTACTTCTCCCCCACACCCCCTCCCGCCAGTCGCGGTTGCTCGTTATAATTCCTTGACCGCTTATCGTTTACTTGGATTCATAAAAAAAATCAGCCCTTTAAAAAGTAATATATGATCCTGTCGATGTAAGAATTTCAGTCTCAAAGTTGTAAGCGTCCATCAAAATATAAATTGGGAGTGTCATATTGAATACATCTCTAAGAAGATAGCTTGTGCCATTGGTGCGATTAAACAAATTCGGCATCTCACTCCATTTAACGTTTTAATCAAAGTTTATAGTAGCCTTATTCAAACCACATTTTGATTATTGTAACGTAGTGTGGGGAAACTGTAACAAAGGCCTTTCTGAAAAACTACAAAGGCTGCAAAATCGGGCAGCTCGCATCATGTCAGCGAGCTATGATAGTAATTTGGATGATTTGTTCCGGGCGCTAGGGTGGCGAAAACTCTACTATCAAAGATTGGAACAGAAATCTATCCTAATGTATAAAACATTACATGGTATGACACCTGATT